GGGGGGGGGAGGATCACAAATATCTCTACAGTTGTAGCTAAAAAGTGGTTCCAGTCAGTGCTGATGTTCCAAAGAATCACTGAAAATTATTAAGAAGTAGTTTTCCTATTCTGAGACGTAAAAGAAACCAATAATCACTAGAACCTCAAAATTATATATTAAAACTTATACCTTGAATATTGTGCTCTTTTAAGATGAATCTATCTGGATAAAATTAGCAAAAGTGATACCAAAGACTACGTAAGAAACTTGGGGGACAGTGAGTTTAGGTTAACGGGGGAGGATGCCTCGGAAAAGGAGGGTGAAAATCACCGTACAACTCAAAGAATGTAATCAGTGCCACTGAGTCGTAAGCAGAAACTGTTGAATTGGTGTGTTCTGCTCTGTGTGTGTGTGTATACATAAAATACATAAGCATAGGCTGTTCACAACCAGTTAAGACTGTGTGGCTTACCTGTGCATACATACTACTGACTTGACTCTCACAAAGAAGGTGTGTACATCGACTAGTGAACGTAGGATCCACAGTGCCCCCATGTGCTTGAATGATCTAGACATACAAAACATGCAAAGTTGTAATAAATTCTGGGCACTCAGCAGAATTGTAATGTCAAGTAAGGCACTTTAAAAAAAATCTATCACATAACATTTTTTAGATTTCCCCAAAGCACAAAAAATATGATCAGTTATATTTATGGCCTATTCTATGCAGCATTATAAATGAAAATAAACTCAAAAGAAGAAAGTTCTTTCTAAAACCAATAATCACGATTTACTGGAGGAAAAAGAAGGAAAATGAAAAGCCCTTTTCAAACAGGGTTCGTTGGACACCGGGACATTTTGGACCAGTTTTAACTCTTTGCTGGTGAGGTTGCCCTGTGCAAGGCAGAATGTCTAACACCATCCTTGACCTTTACCCACAAGATACCAGGAGCACCTCCGCTAGCTGTGACACCCAAAAACGTCCTCAGGCATTGCCAAATGTCCCGCCGCCCAGGGGGCGCGGCAGAACTAACCCCTTTAATAACCACTACTTTTAAAAACAGAAGGGGGAGGGAGGCAAATCAAACAGATTAAGCTTTGGGGAGGAGCGGGTGCAAGAGAATTGTTCTGTAATGTGATTGCAGTAGTTTCACTGTACTTTTTATCCGTTCATTTTTGAAAATTTTTCTTTTATAAAAGCACACCAAAACTCAAACCGTGAAAAGGGTGAGGTAGGGATTTCATTCTCAGATAATCTTTTTAAGACTCCATGCCAATAACAATCAATGTACTACTTTAAAATTTTTTCATTTTAATTATTACTATACACGACCATTATTTCATAAGGCATACCAAGAGTAGCAGTTCCCTGTCCCGCCCTATTTATCAGTCCTCAGAAGCTCCTAAAGCCATTAAAAAAGAAAAATCGACGAATCACTTCTTTGCATTTCAGGTTTGTTGCTGCGGCGTCCCATCTACCGGCTCTGACTCATGGCGCGCGCCCCTGGGACGCGGCCCTGGTTTCCCGTGTTTCAGTCTCTATGGGGGCAGATTGCCGGGCCTTTTCCTCCAGGAGCAGCTGGAATTTTAAAATGACAACTTGTCCCACAAACTTGAGTCTCCCCCACAGTATACCTTTTCTCCCATGGTAAGATCAGTCAGCGTTATTTTCACTGTGCCGTGCCTTCTGGCTCCAAGTCACTCACTCATCTCCAGTACTGCTCTCCCGTCCGTCCGGACTTTCTCCTCAATTTCTTCCCAGGAGTTCCCTTTACATCTCTCTCTGAGATCTCCCATTTCTTGTCTTTCTCTTTTCGGGCACAGTAGCTTCTTAGAACAGTGCACGGGAGGTAGATGTTTCGATCATGGACTTCTAAACATATGTCTTCTACACTCCCATTTGATTGACAAACTGGATATGTCCAGGTAAAGTCAAAAAGTATTGCTACAAAACTATAGAGTCTTTAATTAAAAATATCAAACTGCAAAGCAACTATTTTTCCCTATCTTCCCATCTAGGTCTACACACTTCTGAAAGCAGTGTTTTCATCTCTGTAGCCTTTGCCCAAAGAATTCTGAGTTCTCTGATTTACACCCTGTCCAAATGGCAGTATGAACAATTTCTTGGGATTCAAATCGAGCTCCTTTTAAACATGCTCTCGAGTTTGGAGACACACACACCCCCTTGCCACCACCACCCCCCAAAAAAATGCAGAATCAGAACCATAGGGTAGATGGTCTCCCAACAACATTTTTGTAGGACAGCACTTTCTACCCTGGAAAAATGTGCAGATACACTGTCATGAGAAAAAACAATTCCATGGTGCAAACTTACTGGTCTTTCTCTCACCAATACAATTTTTCAATTTTTTTCAAACTTATCCATAATTATTAGCCCCTGTGATCATCCTGCGTCCGTCAAGAAAGTCTGTCAAAAGTAACCTGTAGGCAGGCTCAGAAACTCTCTCCATAACCTTCCTGGTTGCCCTCTTTGTCTTGAATTTAACTGGTCCAGCTTTTTTAAGGCATCCTCCTAATGAGACTAACATGACTTTCCTGCAGACACTAGCTGATTACAGAGACATGTTAAGCACATTTTGTATGAGACGAGTCTGTATATATAAACTGAAACCCTAGAGCGGCAATACTTTTGACTTCCCAGGAGACTTTTCTTACACCCAATGGGTTAATAACGTCTTTTTTCAAGGCTCTCATAATATCCTGTTCCTTTATCTCTATCCCTACACCAAGCATACTGCTGTGTCTGCTCTTCCTACTAGTCTACAGCGTTAAGAGACTCCGTTTGTCATACATCCCTTGGACCTTGCAGCATGCCTGGCACACAGCAGAGATTCATATGCTAGCTATCAAGTAAATGTCTCAGTTTAATAGAAAATTTACAATACTTTGAATTCACATTCAACACGTACTTGAAACATGCTTAAAATTCAGCTTAAAAGTTTTTGATTGGTTGCATATTTAGAAAAATACAATGCAGAATAATACACTCCGCAAGTGTACTACAAAATGTCAACATCCCTTTCTGCCCTAGTGATTCTAGGGTTTTCTAGCACTAGCCTGAGAGAAGCAAATGATTAAGACAGAAGTAAGATGATGGCCGCTAGCCCAGAGCACTAAAACACTGCTATCACTCCCACAGCCATGGTCACCTGCAAAATATTAGTACTCCTAAGGATTTCACACCTGAGAAAAATCTTATGATAAAAAGCCAACATCCTCCTGGTACACACACTACACAACACACACACACACACACACACACCCCAAAAAACCAAAATAAGTGATTTGCTCAAGGACAGAATAATAATGCCCATACCAATTCATAGTACATCAATATATCTTAGCAAACACAGCCAAATGAACATAGTTAAGTCTACATTTATAAAGGAAATCCTACAAAGTTTGATGGCCTCCAGGCACAATCTTACCCTTTTCCAGGAGGCCAGCAGCTGTTTATCAGACATCTGTTCTGGATAATCTGCAATTGCAAATACACACCCCAGCAAAAAGCCTTCTTCTGGAACTAGAACAGAATTGTACCAGGTAAAGAAAATTAAAACTCAAGAGTCTGCATGCATGAAAAGAAAAAAGGACATTCTACTAAATTGAATATGAACTGGTTGAGACTAATCACTCTTGACCAAGGCGTACAAACTAGCTTGTTGTCAAAGTTAATCATTAAAGAATAAAGCAGCACAATGTATTTGTCCCGAGCCATTAAATACTCTGAGTTGGCTCTTAGTGTTCTAGGAAACACCAATAGTCACTTTAGTACACAATGTCCCAAAACACAAATGAAAAGTATAGTTACCCCCTTATAGCTATAGCCTTTGTTAAGAATAAGATTCATATTCTCCATTTTGCAGAAATTATTTTGATATGAATTCTTACTCTTCCTTCAAATACTCTCAAAGCATTAATGCAAGTACAAGTCTTTCAGGAGGAAAGAAAAGAAATGAAAGAGGGAAAAATCCATATTACTAACTCTCCACTGCTGGATCATGTCCAAAAAGCTGATGATGCTGTGGCTGCTGCTGCTGCTGCTGAACCTGATGCTGCTGCTGCTGAACCTGCTGCTGCTGCTGAACCTGCTGCTGCTGCTGAACCTGCTGCTGTGGAACCTGATGCTGTAGTGTCTGGGATGTTTGACTCAAGTGTGCAGTTTGAGTTTGCATTTGCTGTTGCTGCTGTTGGTGGTGTAGGCGCTGAAACTGCTGCTGCTGTAACTGATGCTGAATTTGTTGCTGCTGTTGTTGATGTTGTAGCAGGTTCTGTTGTTGCTGTTGTAACTGTGCTAACTGTTGCTGTTGCTGCAGCTTATGTAACTGTTGCTGAAGGGCATGCTGTTGCTGGAATGGCTGTAGCTGTTGAGGGCGATGCAGCTGCTGTTGAGGATGCAACTGTTGCTGTGGAAACTGATGCTGATGGATTTGCTGCTGCTGTGAAAACGGATGGGGCCGTGGCTGGGGGTAAGGCTGTTGAGGAATCTGTTGCTGTTGTTGCTGGAGCTGCACAAGCTGTTGGGGTTGGAGGTGGAAAACAGGGTGCTGCTGCTGCTGCTGCTGCTGCTGCTGCTGGGTCTGATGTTGCTGTTGTAACATATGTGTCTCTGGAGTTACTTTCACTTGGCTAAACAGCACTGCATTTGCATTTGCATGTCCCTGTTGGCTATGATTCACCTGCTGTTCTAAATTTTTTGTAGGTGCTGAAAGAGATTGTAGGATCTAAAAAACAAAAATTAGTCAAAGTCATTATCAATATTACTCAAATGTTCTACCATTCTCTGAATCAAGAGAACTGTAGTATATTCTACACATTACTAGTCAACTCAGTGGGGAGCTTCAAAGGACTGGAAGCTTCGTGAACAATGCTGCAGTTTTCTTTTGCATTTACTATGCACCATCAACCCTAATCAAGCACCTACATCAATTCAGACTTTGAGACCACCAAGATTTGAAACAACATGAGAAAAATAGAATAAGCTAATGAATTAAAATCGACAGACATATATGGTCCATGTATTTTGTAGAGGTAGCAACAACACCACCCAAACCAAACAGAACCCCCAACGTACTCTATCCCATTTATTTCTGGTCCCTTTGGGAGTATGCCTAAGGTACTCCCAGGCAACATACAGCATCTCTTCATTAACCATCTACCTCAGTCAGTGACGGCCTCATCTTAGGCGGGCGATGCTCCGGGGAGTGACAAGAGAGGAAAGCATCTGAAAGTAACAGGTTTGGTCTCGCCCCCAACTCCCCTCTCCAAGATGCCATTTCCCTTTCCTCCTGCCTCATGGCCCACGACACAATAAATAAGCTCCCTAGTGAGAGTCACATATCAAGAATTGCTTCCAAATGAAAGCTGAAGGCATGGCTATCAGGCTAGGAGTAGCTCAGATAGCGGTTAACACTACCACAGTTAACACTCTGGTCAAATGAGAAGCATTCCTAAGCGAAAAATCATCATTGCAGCTGGTAACTGATCCTTCCTCAAGCATTCCTGGATAGTTTTAAACAGAAAACAAGCTACAGAAAAAGCATACAAGTCAGTCTGCTATATCCCTTCCTATTCCTTGGCAGGCATGCGTTAAAGCGGTGACGGGAGTGAACGAAGTTATATACATGTTGAGAGGGTCAGAAAGGCACAATGAAACAAGAGGTGCCAACAAGGAGAGAATAAAATGGAAGGCTATCTTTGTTAGCTCATACAGCACTGAGTCAAACAAAAAGAAATATGGCAACAGGCTGTACCATGAAGTATGTGTGCATACTCAAAGTAACAAAACCCAGAAGCCAAATAATTTCTCTGGTCACCCAACTGGTAACAGTAATAATTTTGCTTAAATTCTAGCAATACAACTGAGCCCCACTAAGAGCATTATAAACTGAAAGAATTAAAATTTAACACTACCAAAACTATACTTAAAGGAGCCCTGGTGGCATAGTGGTTATGTATTGGGCTGTTAACCACAGCGTCAACAGTTCAAAACCACCAGCCGCTCCGAGGGAGAAAGATGAGGTTTTCTACTCCTGTAAAGAGTAACTTTTTCCTGTAAAGAGTAACTCAGAAACCCAAAGAAGGAGTTCTACCCTGTCCTATAAGGTTGATGAGTTAGAACAGACTTGATGGTTGTGAATGAGTGAAGAAAACTGTACTTAAATTGCAAATATAGCTTATTTCCCACTTAAACAGATTCCCAAGTGCAATTATATAATTCTCAAAGATAACAAATTTTGAATTCAGCGATAAAATAATTGATCATGAGCAACTTTTATTTTTATATCATTCTCAAAGATGTCTTTTGGATTCAGCGATGAAATAATTGATCAAGAGTCACTTTTATAAAGAGATTCTTTCAGGATCCCATAGTTGAATTTTAAACAGAACACTATTATTTAAGTAAATCCAAATATTGATTTATTTTCCATTCAGAAAAGTAATGGAAATATTCACTAAAATAAGGGGAAATTCCCCCTTCATAGCAGGCAGCTGAACAGTACTGGATATGAAGATATGTGGGAGAGAGGCGAAAGGATATGTAGACAAGCCATGAGCCAAGACGCAAGTAAATGGTAATGAGAGTAGTTGGCTGCCTTTTGAGAGGGTATAAGGGAGTGAGGGGTGGGAGGAAGTTTAACTTCACTTTATATCTTTAAGGAGATCTGGTGGTATAGTCGATTAGGCATTAGGCTAGAAACAGGTCAGTGGTTTAAACCACCCCACCCCAGCCACTCCCAGACAGAAAGATGAGGCTGCTTGCTCCTCTGAAGATTTACTGTCTGAAATCCAGCAGAATCAATATCCCTTAGAAATATGTGGATCATTTCTTTCATGTATGTATTTATTATATTTCAGCCCTCAGAAGTAAACAGTCTACGTAGACTTTATGAGTAATAGGGAAATTAACATCTGCCTGCACAATGGGCAGCGTCAAGTCAATTGCTTACCATTTCTACCAAGCCTAGACTCTAGTACTAAGAGTCCTGAATTGTATGAAGGAACAACTACACAGGACAGTGGGAGGAGGATGCCTGGAGTCAGGGCAGTTCCTAATCAAAGCACTAACTCCTCAGTGGAGTGGCCAGAGAAATGGCTGGCTGGGTATGCCCTCTGCTTAAGGTGTGTATAAGTCCAAGGAGGTCAAAGAATAACGCTAAGAGCTGTTCCTACTAAGGGTATTAGAGCAAAGGGTTTTTTCAAAGGGCAGACAGTAGATATAGAGATTGAAGACAAGAGCCCACGCTGGGAATGCAGAATGACCATTAGTCTCGAACACAACCTCCCTCTGGAATCAAGAGGAAGCAGTGATCTGAAGGAGGTACAGGGCTGGCTGAGCCGTTGGCAGCCTGGAATGAGCACCTCTGCACTCTGATCACTCTTTAATTCCTGACCCTGCTGTAAATGTAACACCAGTCCTAAAAGGATCATGGAACAATGGTGCTTTCCACAGGGCAAATGAAAGCGTTTTTAAATGATACCTTCCATTTGTGATTCCACAAGTAAAAAAGAAAGTATCATTTCTTGACTTGTCAGAGAATTTATAATTATTTCACATTACTTTATATATTCATGCATCCTCATACCACCCAACTAAAATAGACATTTAGGGCCATGAGCCAACACTCTGAGTCTCATATTCCCAATCACTCCTGGCACGGCAGGTGTATCGGAGTGCTCCACGTCTTCCCTATGGGACTCTCTTCTTTCCCCACTGCAGTCTCAATCACATCACCATTCTTCCAACCTTTCAGATCGATACCCTTACAAGTATTTCACCTATCAATGCTTTGGTCTTTTGTTTTCTGTTTGCTACTAAGTCTTTCTAGCTTTCCAGTACTACTTTCAAACCACAACTCCTCTGTCCTCTTCTAAAATTCCTGTTCCTTTGAGACTTTGTGATGTGGTTTGATCACTCATTACACTTCCTGGAAGCGACTGCACATGGCCCAACTGGACAACAAGCTCCTGCATTGGAAGATGCTGGAAACAGATCTTTCTTTGCATTTCATCGGTTACCCTTCACGTAGGTCACTTCAATACTCACAAGGAAAATCTTGAACAAATTCTAGCTTTCAGTTCTTTGACCACCTCAGCTCAATGACCATCTCTTACTTTACCGTGGCCTTTCATTCTGAAACACAACCTACACCAGTGGTCAGAAGCAAACTTAAATCTATAAGAAGGCATCAAAAGTTTGTGAAAAAATTCATTACCTTCCATTTCTATTTTTCTATGAACTTTTTGAAGATCCTTCCTTATCTACAGAACCAGGCAAGTAACGTAATTGTGACGGGAAGCAGAAACAATCAACGATGGAGGAGTGGGCCCTGAAGCACAACAGTACCTCAGTTTAAAAGGAGCAGCTGCTCCTCAGCTCCAAGGGCAGCACTTTCCAAGACTTCAAGGTCAACACTGCAACAGGCTACCTACACATCCTAAATAAGCAGAAACCCAACATGGACAGAAAACCTTGTGAGTTTGGCAAATATATAATTTTTTAAAAATTATTTGGACTAAATTTAACATGTAAGGCTAGTATGGTCTAGGGCAGTGGTTCTCAACCTTCCTAATGCTGCGACCCTTTAATACAGTTCCTCATGTTGTGGCGACCCCCACCCCCCCCCAATAAAATTATTTTCATTGCTGCTTCATAACTGTAATTTTGCTACTGTTATGAATCCGGCGACCCCTGTAAAAGGGTCATTCAACCCACACACAGGGGTCGCAAGGTTAAGAACCACTGGGGTAGGGGTTACAGGCTAACAATCCCAGCTCGTTATCATAAACATTCAAAACTGCTAATTCAAGTACACCAGTATTTCACCAAATTTGCTTTTCCTTCTGGGTTACCAGTGTAACCAGTATCTGAGTGAGTGCACCAACAGAAGTTAGGACTCCCACCACGACGTGGTGGCTATGCTAAGTTTGGAGGTTAAAACTCCCATTTTGCAGTACAAGTAATCTTGGTGTCAAGAATGTAGTCATTATTCCTGTATCTCTCCATTGTACAGTGAGGAAATTACTTGGTAAACAATTTCAGAGAACAATTTTGCTTAAGACGTTTGCTTGCTGCTTAGGAAGGTGGGTCCAGAAACAATTCTTACTCAAATTAAACTTCAGCATTACAAGGCCTTCCCGGCAGTCCCACAAGAAGGATCACAGGATTGTTTTGAGGCCAGATGAACTCAATTTAATGATTATTTTGTTATAATTCTTATTAAAGCCAATTATAGAAATATATATAATCTACCAATCAGATGTCTCCTCATCCAGTTTTGACAATTACCTGTATGTCAATCAATCACTGGAGTTTTACTAACGTTCCTTGTATTTTATTATAAAGACCCCTAGAACTTTCTCCTCCTTGGATCACATAATTCAGAATCCTATGGACTCTGATTCTCATTTTGAAAACTGCCTTGCCACTCAATAAAAGCTCTTTACTTTTCACACCAACTAGATTTTCTGCTTTTTGCTTTGTAATATACCCATTATGAGTGGTCTGCATCTTCATGGGAACTTCAAGCCCCTCCCTGATCCTCCCTCCACTTTCTCCCTTATCCAGATTGGATTCCAGGTTTTCATTCTTGCCACTACACCAGCCTACACTGGGCCCTAACTATGTGTAGCATGCTTGTCTGCCCAATCTCTATATAACTATTTTTAAATCTCATCTTTTCAAATCACCAATTACCTCCTGTCTCTTCTTCTACACTCTGCCACCTTGCTTCATACATCTTAACTTTCTTCCTTCTACGATCTAACAGATGCATTTTCTTTCGCCGTACTCTGGATCCCATTCCCTTCAATGGTCTTAAGAACCATATACTATCAATTACTCATTGCTTAACACCTCTCGTTATTAAAAGGAAGGAAGGAAGGAAGGAAGGAAGGAAGGAAGGAAGGAAGGAAGGAAGGAAGGAAGGAAGGAAAGGACAGGACAGGGAAGGTCTGGCCCCGATTTACTATCTTCCACTGACTACTATTATACAATCTGAACTCCCTGGCTCATTCTATCATTTATTGATCATTGCTAAATCCTCAATCTAAAATCTTTTTCAAATGTATGGGTAGTTGCCAGTGTTTTTTCTGTATTTATGAGTCTCAAAATATTATTTTTGGCCCACCCTCAAAGCAAACAGCAAAAGGATTCAAAAACGTTTAAGTTCCCCCAATAAAATGACTTAAAAAAAAAAACACTTGTAAGTTCTTTTTCAATTCTAGCCAAGGAATGACTAGCAAAATTCTGATGATTTATTTTTCTAAGTTCCTCTTTAGGTGTAACTACAGCCAAAACCAGACTCACTACAGTCGGGTCGATTCTGACTCCTAGACACCCTACAAGACTGACCAGAGTTGCCTCTGTGGGTTTCCAAGGCAGCAACTCTTTACAGAAGTAGAAAGCCTCATCTTTATCCCAAATGTGGCTGGTGGTTTCAAACTCCTGACCTTGAGTTTAGCAGCTCAACATTTAACCCATCAGGCCTCCTTATGTGTAACTAAGAGAAATTTAAGAATCTCTGCTGGCAGTGAGTTACACATTGGACCATTAACCACAAGGTCAGCAGTTTGAACCCATTAGCCACTCTGAGGGAGAAAAATGAGGCTTTCTTCTCCCATGAAGGTTTTCAGCTTCAGAAAGCCACAGGCGCAGCTCTACTGTTATATGGGGTCTCTGAGTCAAAATCAACTCAAAGGCATGACAGAACAAGAGCAACTGTGGATCTACTGAGTTAAGGGGGTTTCTAAATTCATAAATGTAACTTAAACTTTTATACAAAATTACCAACAAACAATTTAATATTCTATCAAGGAATATTGCTACTACATAATGCTTAACAATGTTGGAAACTGCTTTGCTACTTCAAGTCATGCTTTTAAACTATAACTAAACATGTTTTATTTTCAACATTTTCAATTTAGTTGGCTAGGTATTGGCTAATATTACATTATACAAGGATACATATCTCAATAAACTAATTTATCTTAAATGCTCCTACAGTTCAGCTTAATGACATTTATGCACTGAAATCCACACATTAGAGATGTACTTCTATTTTTATAAACATTTTATAAACACCAACATCTTCCATTAAAAATGGGAATATATGAAATAGTAGGCTGCCACTTCAGACAGTTCTTAGACTCTCTGTAGCCTTTTTTTGGGGACTCTGTGCTATCATGCAGAAGCACTGGTGGCACACCGGGCTAAGTGCTGGAATTGCTAACTGTGAGGTCGGCCGTTAAAACCATCAGCTCTTCCATGAAAGAAAGACGGTCTATGCCTATCAAGATTTAGTCTCAGAAACCCTAAGGAACAGGTCTAGTTTCACTATGAACTGGAATCGGGTTTGGTGCTATCATTCTGAAAATAAATATATGAAACTAAAGTATGCCAGAGCCAGGTGAACCTGCAGATTGATCCTAACAATGAGATGGGTGCTCCACTGCTGCCGGGGTCCTTCCGGGCATCACCCCGGAAGCTCTTCTCACTATGCTCTCCCTCCCTGTGCAGGCCACCCAGTTTCCAGTGCTGACAGTCTCTAGCTGAGACCTTTAATCATGAGAGTCAAGCACAACAGACCCAGCTTCTGTCTGCATATCTCCCCACTGGATTTAGCAGATATCTCTCAAACCCAGCACATCTATAAAGGAATTTAGGATTTAAAAGCCCACAGGTAACCCAATGTTACTTTTCAAAGTAACAGTATCATCATCATTCAGTTGCTCCAGACAGAAAACTGTTCTAATCTTGGTTCCTTTATTCTCTCAAACCCCAAACCAACAGTCCCTGAACTGGGGCCTCTGCTTCCTTTCTTGCCCCCCTATAATACATTCTCCACACATCTTTCAGATCTTATCTCATCCCTGCTGAAAGCCCCTATGGCTTCCTTACAATAAAACTGATACTTCCTCATTAAGAAGCCCCGGTGGTATTGGGTTAGGAATTGGGCTGCTAACCCAGTAGCCAAGCCATGGGAGAAAGATAAGGTTATGATGATATGAGTTGATACGAGTCAGAATCAACTTGATGGCAGTGTGTATCATGGGCTACAAGGCCCTACATGGCAAGGTCCCAATGTCATCACGCCCAGCCCTCACTCACATCATTTCTACGGATAAGCCTCCATTACTACTTCCCTTAGAGTACAACAAATTCATTCCCACTTTGGGTCTGTTAAACGAATTGCCATTCCTGTTTTCTACAACTCTGCCCTCACTTCTTCTCAAGTCATTCAACACTGATTTAAGCTATCTCTTTCATGTGACCTTTCCTGACAATCTCTGCTAATTACATGACCCTTTAACAATTTCTATAACCATCAGAAGTCATTTATCTGGTTACTGTCTTTATTCTCCACTTAACATGGGAGGAGGGAACCTGTCTTATTTACTGTATTATCCCCAATTCCCAGAAAGTGCCTGGAAAACCTATGGTCCTTGTACTACAACTGACTCTCTCTCAGCCGGAAATGAAAATTCTGACTTGAATATCATAAGATCCCTTCTGTATCAACAAGGCTTCTTTGATGAAAAATATTTACCTTGAAGCTCATTATAAGGAAACAAGGAAAAGGTGATACATTTAATTCTTCTCTCTGCTAATACGGTTAACTAGCTCGAGTGGAAATCCCTTTTCAAGGGAAAACATTTTATCACTGTCAGACTGGTTCCACTGAGCTGGGTTAGGTCTTCATCCTATGTGCATGCTGCTCACACTGGTCTCTTATTTACAATAGAATTTATTACACCCAAAACCCCAGGGCTATAAAACATTTTCATTACTTGCCTGAAACAAATAAATAATGCTTTTAAGTTATTGGGTCTGAAGCAGGAAACAAAAAACACACTGACACAGATTATAAATCCAATAGTTAATTCTTGATTTTTAAAGAGCGACTTACATGTGCTACATTTGAAGGTCGGTTAATCTGCTGAATGTCAGCATTATTAGTAATATTTCTCAATGTCCGCACAGCTGGACTCCAAGAAGCTATCATTTCTGATCGTTCCGAGCTCTGGGGATTTTGTCCCGAAGCCATTAAATTACCCCGGATGTCAGGTGGCAAAATGTTACCTGGGACCGGTGGTACATTGGCACATAAATTAATTAATCCAGGTTCCTTTCCCTGAGGTAGTCTGCGCTTTGCTGCAGTTAACTGTGGGACTTCAGCTGGGGTCCAGTTTAAATTTCTCTCTTGCTTTTCGGGTGACGAATCTGAAGAATCATCAAACATCAATTCCCCTTTAGATTTCTCGGTATTTGATTTGGGTGAAAACTGGTGGTCACCTGAAGGCGATCCTTCTTGAGAACTGGCAGGGCTTGATTTTTCATCTGAACTACCCTCATTTTGAGAATCTTGTTCCTCATTTTCCACTTCCTCCTCCTCCTCTTCTTCATAAATAATTAAGCGAGGGTGATAAAATGCTTCATCCTTCTTAGTTTTATCAGCTATAGAATCCAGGACCCAATCAGGTGTCACAATTTTAATACTTGCTCGCTTAAAAGCACATTCATATTTTTCCTAGGAGCAAAGGACAAACACATGCATTAACAAAGCTACATATTTTATCAAATTTCCTACATTTGTGTATTAGACAACAATTACTACCCCTACTACTTTAGAAGAGGGATGCATTACATACAAGAGAAACACTTGATCTCCTTTGAGATAGAGAGTACTGAGCAAGAAAAGTTTAAATGAACCACTTATCAATCAAAAGTTTAAATGAACCTCTAGGCCAAAAGTTTCTGACCTAGAGAGTCACAATTTAATTCTGAAAAGAAATGAGATATATAATGAGTATATTGCAAAACAAAATCAAATGAAACGTCAAGCGATTGCTGACACACAGTGATTACTGAAGAGACGAAAGCTGCCCCTCTGGGTGTTCAGGGTGGTCAATCTTTCCTGGAGCAGGAAACACCCTTTCTCCCACTGAGGGGCTGGGGGGTTCAAACTGCTGACATGATGCAAGCCCACCCCAGGGCTCCTGTCTGATGCACTCATAGTCCTACAGGTGTCTATTTATCAATTATATTTCAAATGTGAAAGTCTAGCTAAGAATCTTTTAGCAAATCCTCTTGGAAAAGCATTGTTACCTGTTTTTACTTACTAATAATTTTTACAATGTAAGCACCTTCTCATAGACATGCTCTCCTAATCAATTACCAAACATTTACTGAGACCTTTCTATATGTGCTAAGTCATGGTGGGGGTGGGGAGACATGAAGCATACCAAAAGTTTCTGACCTAGAGAGTCACAATTTAATTCTGAAAAGAAATGAGATAAATAATGAGTATATTGCAAAACCAAGTGTTAAGTGGCAAGGTAGACGATTACGGAAGGATTTGATCAACATTAAGTTAGAAGACTCAGAAAAAGCCTCATTAAAGGGTGAGATCTGGCTGAACCACAAATGATCATTTGCATGGTAGAAAATAAGAGCAGAAAATATGGCACAGTGGGAAACGTGAGTGCATGACATTGTAAGGAGTGCTAACAAGTAAAAGGTTCGCCTAAAAGTCAAGGTAGAAAGAATACCAAAGGAAAAAAGCAAATACATGCACATTTTTAAACAAGAGCCAATAGGATGATGTAATTAAAAAAAAAAAAGATTTTGCCAATACAGTTTAGCTAGTCAATATAAGCTTCTACTTCTGTTTCTAAAAGTTCAATACCTCACAGCAATTGTCTAAAACAGCACAAGCTAGGGCCCCAAACTTAAATCCATTTCCTGTGGTAGAGACCAAAGACAGCATTTGCTGTTTGCGGTCGGGATAAGTCTGAGAGTCCGCGGGGCTGTACAGGGAGTAGTAGAACCTGGATTGCTGCTTGCAGTTGTCTCATGCTCTGTGGAGAACTGATGGGAAGACTGTGAAGTGCTCTAAAGCTAGGAGACTTCTCTCTTGGGAAAGAGTAAGGGCTACAAAGGGCAGGTGAATTCACTTTCTATTTATAAGGATGTCTTTTTGTCAACATTTTAAAATACACTTTAAATAAAAGGCTAAATAAAAGGAAAACAAGCACAATCCTAAGAATTACACTGATTGGATATCAGTGAACATTTCATATAGTCTTAATTGTTTATCCGTGTGTATACAAAGAAGGGAGAAAAGAACCATGCTGTCAGAGTACAAATAATTCCTAAAGCGCTTTTTTCATTTAACAGACTGAACATCTATGTAATTATGTACATGGAGTTTACATTTAGAACTATACTTCCTTTCAGAGGTGATTTCAAATTTTTTTGGAGGCAATTTCAATTTATACTCTACCAGCTATGTAGTGTATGACAATTTACCTATACTTTTGTCATTCAAATTTTTGTTCCCGAGACTAAAAATTACATTTCACTCACGTTTCCTGATTTTCACAAAGTTTTTCTATTTAAAGGTAGTTAACTGCTTAAATAAAAGGTCAGTTCCCGCTGAAAGGATAAGGAGTAATTTTTAAAAGCTTTTGCCAGAGCTAACTCATCAGCTAAATTTTTTCTAATCCTTGAATGATCAAAATACTGTATGAATGAGTGCAATTGAATTCAGGAATCAACAGCGATAAAAAAAAGTCCCCCAAATCTTAGATGCCCAGAGCGTAACAAGTGATATGCTAGAGTTGGTTCAAGGTGCCGATTTCCCCCACACTTCAACTTCCTGTTTGGTGACATCAAATTTCAGCCACAGTGAGAGTGTTTACCCTCAGATATGCTAAAATGCTAAATACCAGCCTCTGCCTCCCAATAATTAAACATTGCTCCTGTTGTTTTTAAGTTAAAAATTCCTCTATGCTCAATAGAAGTAAAAACACTTGATAAACTAAACATTATAAAAGGCCTTTTCTTCACACCATTTATTGTTGTATGTACAAACTGCTGAGCTCACTACTGCTACACTTAAAATGTCTGAATCAATTTAATGCAAAATCATCAAACCTGTCTGATTAAAGGGCTTTAGAAACCAAAGGTCACTCATGAATTAAGAACATACTGCCTAATAATGTACATTAACTTAAAACATGTTGTTTTTATAAATAAAACCAGATCACATAGTTGCATCTGGTTTTTATGATGGGGGAATTCTTGTCCTTACAAGGGATTAAGTAGGACAATCAGGAAAGAAATGAGTTCAAGTAAGAAATCACCAATCTACAAATTAAACTGGAGAAAGCAATATGGTCTGTCATAATCTATTTATAAAATATCTCAAAAGCACCAATAATACGATGACTGTTGATTCAGATCTATCAAAGGTAGCAACAAAAAGAGGATGGCAATGACTTATAGGTAGAAAAGATTCACTAGTCAAAGACTATTAATAATGTAAATATACTTGGTTATCAAACCTACTGTTTATGGGAAAGAAATTGGTTTCCATACAACAGTAATTCTCAAACTTCAATATATTTCAGAATCCCCTACAGGGCTTAACACTGTTGGGTTCCAGGACCCAGTGTTTTAAACACAGTAAATCTGGGGTTGGGATAAGTAGTCTGCATTTCTCACTCATCCCCCAACTGATGCTGATGACCACGGGACCACATTTTAGTAACCAACATCCTAGTGAGAAGCCTTCCTCTTATCAAGATAAATTGTTTTGTTGCAAATTGAAAGAAGAAACTGTATTAAAAACTTTACCAAATGTTTGTAATTATACCTCGCACAAGGTCTTGTAAAGTATTTTGAAGACTATTTTTTCATACATATAAACTGAGGTTTTACTGGATTTGAAAGCACACACAAAAGACTTCAAAACAGCTTGTTATCTTCCTCATGAAATAAAGTCAAATTTCCTTGTATTTAGAAGTTACATTATGCTCATAATCAGTTTGAAAGTATAGCACAACCTTTGTTAAATGAAGCTAGGTATAAGTAATAAAAAAATAACAACCACTTTCTCCAAGTGGAATCTAATAATTTAAAAAGAGCTCAAGAAAGATGCCTCATTTCTGGAAATACTAACATAGCATATGAAAAGAGAATGTATAAGGGATGCTTACCCCCTTTGGTTCAGGAACAATCAAATGTGTGCACTTCTTATTGAGGATCAGCTGACAATCCCCCCCATAGAACGTCACCAAAGCCCACAGAGCACTTCGGTCTGCAGATGATACCTGACAGAGAGTGAGAAACAGGGCTTTTACACTGTAATCTTGGCGGGTTTATATTTCCACTTTATTATCAGAAGACATTATAACATCCTAACTATTTTGCTTTATCAAATGAAATTAACTTAAGGGTATTCATGGTAAAAACAGATAAACTTTTACTTATTTACTTACTGTAATAAAATCTATATTCTTATCATGGGAGTTTTATAGATAAAATCTTTGTTTTTTTCCTTTTCCACCAAATAATTAAAAAAATACTTTTATTCATATTCCAAAGACTGAATGGAGGATTACTTCAGTCTGTAACAAAAATGATAGAGGGGGGGAAAGCAGAAAGAACCAGTACACCATTCCAGCTTCCTTGTGTAATTTCTGAAACTGTTTAAATACAATCACAATATCAAAACGACATTTAAGGAACTTCTTAATCACTAATGGAAAACAAAAACGAATTATGAAATGGCTAAAATAAAAGGATAAAAATACAATGGTTTGTAAGTGCAGGGGAAAATGTGCACAAAAGAAACAAAAGCAAGCATAAAAGGAATACTTCTTATGCTTGCAGAATGACGATGTAAGGACTCCAGATACGATGGCTTATGTTTTAAAATAGGCTTTCACTGTAATAATAAAAAAGCTACCATTTATTGCCTGCCTACAATGTGCCAGGAACTGTGCCAAGTGCTTGATATACATTCCTATTCTTTAAAACCATCATGGAAAATGGGAAGCATCACTCCCATCTTTAAGTAAGCACACAACCTGAAAGAAGTTAAATAATTTTCATAAGATTATAGTTAATGGCTGGAAAAGCTGGCTTTTAAACCCAGGTATATCTAAACTTGGGTCTATCACTAAGCTCTTAAAGTTTCCACTGTTCTACATAGTTTCTCTCAGGGTAATCACTACTAGCAAAGCCAAAAAGGATGTCTAAAATTAAAATTTTTAGAGTCTGTAAAACAAGAGAAACATTTTAGAAAAATAAAGCATTAACACTAAGATAATTTAACCAAGTGAATTTTTTTATCTGGATAAATTTATTGTAAGATGAGGATTATGAATGCTCAAGTCTTGATCTTTGTCTCAAGTTATTATTATTTTTTTAAGCATTGATAAAAAGTAGGTTAATTTCTTTGTAATCGCCATTACATAGTTTGCCAAAGCTTGGACATAAATCTACTCTCATACATCTTAAAAATATTTCAAGAAATCATTTCATATTCCACACTACTCTATGAATACTAAAAAATCACATTACCTTTAAAAATCAGTATTTTATACCTTTTTAATTTCATAGATCAATGTCACATTTCAGGAGATTAGATCAGATTGTTATTTATTAGAGGCTCCTGCAAAAAACATTTATATCCTGCAGCATTTGGAGTTCAGATTTAATTATGATAATATAGGTTAATCTAATAAATAGTTACATATCTTTTAATAAAATTAAAAACAATCTCTATTTGGCCTTTTTACCAAGATTGGCCATATGTCAGCTAAATATAATTTTTATTTTATTGACTGCAATAAATATAGTCCTATAGCATATTTAGCCTATGTCCTAGGTGTAGATTTCAACAGGATGCAGTATGTTACTGTGGAAAGAACACCAGACAGGGAGAAAGGAGATCTGGGGCATAGTACAGTGTCTCCCATAACTAGCTTATGTGAGCATATAAAATGTCCATGGACCAGATTCTTCATCGAAGTGCATTTGGATTAAATGACCTCTAAAAACCATACCAGCTCATTGAATGAATCTCAATCAGCATAATTAACAATTAGGAATGCTCTTTCCACACCAAAATGTTAACACATAGTTAACTAGGGTGATATGATTATGGGGACTTTTTAATTTTCATTTTTATACTTTTCTGTATTTTCCAAGTTATCAAGATCATTAATTTTATAATTGGGGAAAAGTGTTTTACTTTCTTTAGAGCAATTTTTCTAAATCACAAATCTTACCATTTTGGCAAATAAGGCTCTGATGTTTTTAACGCTAAAACCCACAAAGTTTCAAATGGTACTCAAGGCTCTTCCTGAAGTGTCTGGCTCCTGATCACCTCTCTTGGTTGAACTACTTCCCGTATCACCTTCAACTACCACCATCTATAAATGATATTCCTCAGACTTATCCTTTCTGTCACAAAGCAATACTCAGCCTTAAATTCTTATTCCTCTAAGATCCAGGTATCATGGTCATTACATTCCAACTAACATGCTATACAAGATTCTACATATCTACCACACTAGGCAACTGGATGTTTCTCTCTCTTTCTACACCCTCCCCACCCCCCACGGCCCTCTAAACTACTACTTGGAGTTAAGAACTATGAGGGCGGCTTGAAAAATTCGTGGGAAAATGGAATAAAAGATCATGGAATTTTCCCACAAACTTTTTAGAGCTCTTCACACTATTTCTTCTGTTCCCTTGGTAAACAGATGCTTTCTCTTATACCGATCAGTAATGTCCTCCCCTCTTCTTCAGGTCTCTCATCAGCCATATTAGAACCATCCTTGATTCTAGCATGCACAGATCTCTTGTTCAGTTTTGATCATGAACTATAATGCTATCTATTAAAGGCTAGCGTCTTAGAAAAGAACATTTTAAATGTCTTTGATAGCTTTCATAGTACCTAGTACAGTGCAAGGCACATGGGTAGGCAGTCAAGAAATATTTGTTGATTGAGATACAGAAATGGAAAGGACTTTTTTGTCATCTAGATTTAAATTAAGACCCTGGCCAGGCTCTCCATTAATTAAACTTGCCCTATTCCCAGAAACCTACCCAGCACATTACATTAGAGGCCTCAGCCTGCATCAGTACCGGGTCAGAAGAAGGCAGATGGTGTCTGTGCTTCCCAACTTCTGCTGGCACAATCTCACTTCCCTACCTCTCCCTGGGAGATCTCTGGAAGACTCCAACAAAGAGCTCCAGCTTGTACCAACACCCTGACAGGGGAAAAGACAGAAGGGTCACTAAGAACCACCAAGCAAACATTCCTTCTTAAAAGGTGGAGTCCTGCCTGGTATATGCACGTGTGTGTGTTTGCACGCATAGATGTTCTAGCATTTTTAAAAAGGTACAAATAGCTCAACCAGTCTCTCGTGCAGAGAACAGCACAAAAATTAACCATCATTATCCACCCCTCCTCTGTATTAATTCTGTATCTTATACCCACTTTTATTTTCGCATGTCATAATAATTTTTTAGATGTTGGTCTCCCCTTCTAAACTAAGTTTCTGAGGGGAGAGATCACATATGTCTATCTAATACTTAACATTGTTCCTGACACAAAAGAAGTAGTCATCAAGTACTTGTTAAAGGGGGTTCCCTAGCTACACACTATACATACATTGGTTAGCATAGCTTAAGAAAGAATGAACATTTTTCAGCAACCACAAAGTATCACTGTTTCACAATGAACTTTCCTTCAACTAAAATTTCCAGGATTCTTCACTGGAACTATATACTAGGGTAGGATCTTCCCCCAACACTCATTCCTAGCCATCTTTCCCAACGTAAAAGCAGGGGTTTGTATCTTGCCCTGTGAAATTACACATTGGGGGGCTTCAATTCATCATAAGTGATGAATTGTGACAAGAAGTGTAAGTAGTCCATAAAAATCCTATCAGATTCTGATTTTTGTTGCCCAAAGAAATTGCTAGAACAATATAAAATACTGTCAGAGGCCATGCTAAATTCATTTTCTTTTTGTCCACCAGTGAGTCTAGACATTGTCCTTAGTGATTTTAGCACCTAAATAAAATTCTACTTTTCAGCTGAAAGCTGATAGCCAGTATCTCCACTCTGTGTCACAAGCAGGGTAACTTCCCAAACTCAGAGTCAAATAATACTATTCTACCTTCAAGAATTCAGGTATGCCTGTTCTCTGCCACAGCTTTTTCCCTCCTGGGATTGTCATTCTCACCCCCTGCTGACTACCCTGATATGTATTTTCAACTCAGAACCCAAGATCTACATAAGCCCTAAGTACAATCACCAAGTCCCATGACACTTTTCATCATGCTTTTCCCATGGCTTACAGAACAGGACTGGAAGAATACATGGTACTATGTACACTTACCTGCTGCAAACTCATGCTTAAACTTTACCTGGGGCTTTGCTATTTCTAGCAATAAAACTGAAAATTAAGTTTGACTGTAGCCTATTTCTTCAATTGTCTTGATGTATTTTTCAATTCCTTTCTTTCCAATCTCTTAACTATGTATGTTAACAAAGGTTCTACTCCTGGTTATCTGTTCTTGCTTGTACTGTCTTCGACAGGAATTCCTAATTCTAAGCACATCATACCACTGCACTCTATCTTTAAATCCCTACAAAAGATCTCCAATGGGATAACTGATCAACAGACCAAATTCAATGCATCTCACAGGGTTTCTAATGCACATCTTGTACCTTCATTTAAACTGTGCTAACCTTAATCTACAACAGCACTTCTAAAATCTAAGAGTGCAACTTTCCATCTTGCAAAAACTCCAATCTACCCTGACTTCACATGCCACACTCTGAGCTTAATGACCACGCAAAGGTGATTCTAATTTTATTTATGTTTTTCTTTTCCAAATCACCCCCCCGCCCAATTTCCTAATGCAAACATTCAGAAGGAGCCTGTTAACTATTTTATGAAGCTAAGTTTCAGAGATTTCTATATTCTCTACTCATCTAAGCATCCCAAGCTTTTGGCTCTATGCTCATATGTATAACCCTGGCTCTGCCATCAGTCTCCTAATAATGAGCCATTTGTGCCTTCCTGTTTTCTCCTCCAATTTTTTCCCCCATATGGAACACCCTATTTTTAGGTATATTTAACCCTATTTTTATTCTATTCTTTTGGTTCCAGTTCAAATCTTACTTCCTGTCAAGTAACTCTTAACCCTTTCAGTTTACATTGATGCTTTCCTTGTCTGAACTTATATATTAACACTTACGTGTGACTAGACTTAACACATTATAATGTCTTGTACATACTCAAGCCCACTAGCTTCTTTACAGAAGAATGGAGCTATCGATGTCCACAGAGATTGGCAGCTTCAAACCCCTGTGGAGCAGCGCTACTCTGCCCTCTAGGGTTGCCACGATGCAGAATCTGACTGACTCAACAGCAATGAGTTTGACTTACTGACTTTAATATACATTAAACTCTTGTGTGCACTATACAATAATCTTTTGTAAATAGTGCACGTTTACTATTAACCAAAAGTTAGGGAGTTTCAAGTTCAAGCAGAGGCACCTTGGAAGAAAGTTCTGATGATGTGCTTCTGAAACAATCAACCATTGAAAACACGAGAGAACACAATTCTACTCTGATATACTACATGGATGAGCTCACAATGAATTGGCATTGACTCCACAGGAAGTAGCATAACCTTTGACAAATGTCACTACTAGTCTCCAAGAATAAAAGCACTCTACTTAGTGTTAAACTCATAGCATTTAATAATCTCTAATCACCTAATTAAACCCTTAAATTATCTTATACTCATATACCTTTTATTATTTATCCTCAAGTCAAGTCTGCTCAACTCCACGGGACTGCCACCTCCATCCCTGAAAATACCCACAGTACGCCCTGCACCCACTCCGACTCTCGATGGCCCACCTTTCCCTCTTGCTTTCTCATTCAACTTGAATCCTCTCTGGATTTCTGATTCTGAAACCCATAAATCCAATAAATATGAAATAGAATTAAAAATAAAATTCACATTTTAGCCAGTTTATGCATAAGAAATATAATAAAATGTTTTAAATTGAAACACTTTTCTGTGGTTTATTATAAATTTGGAACATACAGAGAAGTATAAGAAAAATAACAAAAATATTACATGTAACCATAGCACCCAGTAAAAAAAAAATTCATTTTGCCAACTTTAAAGATCATCTTCATCATATAAATACACATTTATAACAGATATGAAAAACATTGAAAAATACTAATACCAACAAAATTCATGTTCCTAAGGGGCTAGGTGGGATAGAATCAATTTGATTCTTTAAGGATCTCCAAAAAATTTATGTAGCAAGAAAAAAGAGGACTTCATCATTTTAAAACTCTTCCAAGAATTTTATAAGACAAAATACCAAAAAACAAAGGAATCATAGTTAAGTGGTTATTTATTGAGTGGACTAAGACAAGATCAAATTCAGACTGGTAATATCTTATGTACTAAAAGCTGAATCTGGACAAAAATCTAATAGTGCTAAAGTAAATATGACCTGCCTCTATAATCACTTATTACAAAGGAGAAACATAAAAAGCAACCCTAATCAAAGCCCTTTGCATGTTATGCCCCCTTTTCAAAGGTTCCATTGAGACGATGAAAGACCAAACCCTTGCTCAAAGACATCTTGAGAATATCAAGAACATCAGGCCTGGGTGAGAGAAAACGGCAGCACCCCTGGGTGGTGGTTTTGCCGGTCCAATATCACTAATCTTAAACAAGATGTTCTATCTAAGTTTAAGAACAAGCGGAAATTACAAACTTAATTTTTAAAAATAGTTTTTATGGTTTAAGGAATTGTTTTTCTTTGCTCTTGGTTATTTAAACTAGGGGTTTGGGAAAACAGAAAATAATTTAAAAGTTAAATAATCATTTCCCTGACCTCCCATAATTAACCACTGTTAACATTTTGGTCTCTTTTTTCAGTTAAGACCTTTAATTTGGTTCATGTAACACTATATGCCTATTTTATGCCTATTTTATAACCTGCTTTCCCCCTCCCCACTTATCTTCGTAACATAACTCAAAAATGGCGACATAGCTAGACTCGTGTAAATGTATAAAACATATTTGTTAACCTTTCCCAAGTATTGGATAACCTAATACTTCCTGATTTTACTCTCTTAGCATCAATCTGTCTCTATATCTATCAACTTGGAGATTTCCTAACATAAGAGAATTGCAGGGAAAAACGAAACCAGTACTTAAAGGCAGAGAATACGTTAACCTTTTCTAGAAAACTTACACTGATTTGCAATTCCCAATCCCGCCAGCAGGAGCTTCCTTTGTGTTTGTCTTGGACACCTTCACCAGCAGTCAGTACACTGCTATAGATCTGATAAGCAAGTTTTCATCTCTTTGATAGTCCCATGTCTTTGATTATAAAAAGGGTACCAACTATTTGGTACCAACTGTTACACTTTTTTTCTTTATGAGCAGTAAGTTCACTTCTCTGATTTGAAGTCTTTACTTTTTTTAATGATCTGTAAGTCCTTTATTTACTAATAAAATTAATTCTTTGCCTATAATTATGACTGGATTGTCTTCTTTTAATTTCACTTTTAATATTTTTTCCTACGCAAGTTTAAATCCTTGCAATTCCTTAGAACAGAAAAACCATTTTCACCCATTACAATCTTAAAAATAAACATGAGTATTTAAATAATCCTAAATGCATCAAAAGTTCATACTGAATATGCAGTTCAGTCAATAGCGTTAAAAGTGATTAACAATTAAGCCATAAATTCAATCATATAAAAAACTGAGAAATGTTATATATAAATAATATAAGACTAATTGCAACCACGCTTACCTGAGAAAGGCAGGCAGTGACTCCAAAAAATATCTGGCATGATTCTGGAGAAAAACCATTTACTCTGTTTTATAGTTATTAAGATTACAATGAAATCAAATCAGTGCAACCTGTACTTCACTAACAGACATCCTATATGCACATGTAAAAACATGACTTGCTCCCATCCCGTTTCCTTCCCGCCCTCTCATTCAGTTCATTTAGGAGACAGCTTTAAGTTGACCACAGAAGAGTACAGAGCAGACTAGAACAAAGAGAAGTGAACAACACAAAGAGAACTGAGAGATTTCCATTAAGATATATTTCAAAATCTAATCTACAATAAATGGGCATAATACATTGGTCTCTGATGCCTAGCTTACTATACACATGTATACACACATACCTATAACAACAGTCATCTGGAAAACAAATGAAAAAATGTTTAAATAAAATTTTAGCATGATTACGTCTACAATATAGTAGAAAGAACCCTTTATGAAATAATTAAAGTTTTATACTTAGTATTACTATTATCTTTGTAAACTTGGGCAAGACTACTCTGAGCTTCAGTTTCCTCTGTTAAAAGAGTTTGAACATAGAACTTCCAAAATCCTTCCCAGTTCTAATTTTTAACATCCATTAAATATACTTACTGAAGCCTTACTATGTGCCATATGCTGAGAACATGGTTAGAAGGCAGACAGGGGCTGTATGTGTCTGTACTTTACAGTCTATTAAAAACAAACACAATGACTTTCTCTGAACTTTGGAATGTCTGTAAAAATTCAACATAGTTTTAAAGTACTACTTATTTTTCTAGTAGGTGAAAAGAATATCTATTGAGGTAAGTGAATTAAGAAAAACATAATAGATTTTGAAATCCTAATGCCAAGAATTGAACATTCTTTGACTGTAATAACCTAGACTCAAATATGACTCAAGCAACTCAATAAACTGAAGATTATTTCTGATCTTCCTACTAAACAGATCAAGAACTTCATACTTTCAAAAGCTTGAGGGAACATTAGTCAAGGTAAAACTCAGCTATGTCATCTACCAGAATGTTGATGGTTCCCCTCTCTGTTTCCTTCAGGGTTCTTTAGGATAGGCAAGTAAGGAGATGACAAGTTCTGAAAAATTCTTGTGTGGAGAGTTAATAATAGAGAACAAGAATGAACAGACTCCTCTTCAAAAGTACCTACTGCACTCTTAATCTTTTTTATCTGATTTTATAATAAACAAAACAAAAAGGTAAACAACCCTTTACTTCACCACCACCACCCCCCCCACCACCACCCCGCCCCCATTAAAAAGGAAAACTACAACACAGGTCAGACACACCACTGGGAACTGATTTCCTTCAACTCTTTGGACTGTAAATAAGAAATCCTAACATTTTTAAATTGGAATTGCTACTGTTCTGCACATACTCCAAGAACTGCCTTTAAAGAGATGCTTTCCATTTATCTGACATCCCATATAAATATTTAATTACAAGATTCCCTCCATCCACATTCTATAATAAGTGCATGCAAAGGAATTACCTTGCACACCTTCAAAATACAACAGGGTGAAAAAGATCTCCCCAAACCAAAATTTTATCATCATGACTGTATGGTATCAGATACTCTTAGAATTTGTGCTCAAATGTGAACCTCCAGAAACCGAGGATTCATATTTTCATATGAAATAGGAGGTACCACACCAATTACAGTCAACAGTAAGCCTGTAGGATACCTCATTCCTAATATCCAGCAAAGTCCGTGGGCCAAAATCACACTCAAGAAATGTTAAATGAATGAATGCAAGAGAGTTCGTTGAAGCCAGAAATTATCTTATTCACCATTATATTTTCAGTCCTAAGACCATAAGAGGTATTTAACATGTTTACTGACTAATAAACCTTCCATTATCTAGTGAAATTAACAAGAATAACAACGCATGCTATAAAATTAAATATTTCCTTCTGATTTTCTCTTCTCCAAGCTACCCTTCAAATAATTCATGGTTTGGTCCAGAATTTTAGAAATATACTATCTAGCTAGCCATCACAATAATTATCTGTTTCAGATAAGAAAACTAAGGTCCAGAGAAGTAGATTGCCCAAGATTTTAAAGCTGAGTAGAATTAGAACCTGTGCCTGGTGGCCCTGTCCTAAATCTATTTCCAAATGCCCTGGCCCTCTCTATTTTTACTCTACAAATGACAAGGACTAGTGACATACAGTTTGAGACAGAATAGAAAATAGGAGGGAATACTGAGTAGAGACAACATAATACGGCTAATAAGCCTTTTTCATTCAGTCCGTACAGTTTCATGCCTACATCAGTAGTTACCCATCCTCCCCCTCACCCCCAGAAAGGATACGGCAGGAGGGCTCCACACTGAACAGATAAAATCACCCAAGATGGCTGCAAAACAAAATGTTAACTCGATCAACAAGTATTTTCAAATTAGAATGAAAGTGACATGATTTTTGTATCACCACTCATAGAAATTAAAAAGCTCTCTTAGAACCAATTATAAAACATTCATATTATGAATACTCACAGGTAGCAAAAATACCACAAAGATTAGTTTTTATTAACATTTAAAATGGAAAATCCAATTATAAAATTAAGTATTATTTGATTTTGTAAAAATTATTCCATATAGACATTTAAATACTCGCGTAACACTATTTTATCAATTTCCTAACTCTATCCCACCCCAGGGCACTCAATCCACTCTACCCACAGAATAAAGTCAGTCCCTCATAAGTTCCCTTCTTGAATTTTGAGTTCAATGAAGTCTAAATTCACGAGTTTGTTTGTTGTTTTTTTAAAGAAAAGCCAAGTAGATGTTTATAACCAAAAAATATTGTCGAATAGTCTCCTTATGAATTTCAAAACTAAGATGAATTATAGAGTACCATTTCAGGTAATTTATTTTTTAAATTAGCTCCTCTTCTAAGTCTATATATTTTTAAAATTTACTTACCATTTGCTTTACAAAGTGAAACCCACTGCCTTACAAAATTACCATGTAAAAATATAGCACTGCCCATTTAGCTAGCTGACTTCCAGAAATTTCATTCAACTAAAGCACATACCTACATACTTATCAGTGATCCATGAATTCATTCATCAAATACACCTACTCCTCATTTAATGACATGATCTGGTTCCAAAACCCAGGTCGTTGTGTGAAAATTCAAGGTTATTATAAGCAGCAGTTCTTATTAACAAGAACCTGGGGGTTGCAACCCCTGTGGAGGGGCGAACGACCCTTTCACAGGGGTCGCCTAAGACCATATTTCTGATGGTCTTAGGAACCGAGACACAGCTCCTCTGTCTCCAGGCAGGTTCAGCCACGTGCAGATATGCCTACATACGGGGTCACCGCAACACAAAGAACTGTATTAAAGGGTCGCGGCATTAGGAAGGTTGAGAATCACTGTTCTACAAAAACAGAATATAAAAGAGGACGAGCACATCAGATCACAAGATGGAGGAGGACTGCATCATTACATAACTGCCAAACCACTGAGCACCACAGCCCAGACAGGCCCATATGTAACCTTAAACACACAGAAGAGCCCTCTGAGTTTAACGCTTCATAACTGATCACACTGAGGGATCACAGTGAGAGAGGCTTTCTTGAAACCAGTATTTCTAATGATCCCTCGGGACCAGAGAGATTTTTTTTTTTCCCCCCCAGCCGAGGGCAGTAAAGCTATGCCTTTCCTAGATAAGAGAAGCGTTGCTGTGGCCACAGGTCTACTTTCAGGACATTTTAGAAGAACTACATATCTCTTAGCCAGTCTTCATCCAGAGGTGGGGATGGGAGTGACACGCATCCCAGTTAGGTAGTGGGTCTAGTTATAATGAAGTCCAGGCAGAGTATGCCCTCATTCAGATGAACTAATGCAAAGTTAAGAAGGAGGCCACACTAGGAAAGCCAAAATGAAGAACCACAGAAGCATAGTCATAAGTAGCTACTTACCCCAAAGGCAAAAACAATATATAAAAATAAACCCGCTACTACAAGTCAGCATAATTAACATTTCCAATGATGCCCCAAGGCTACAGAGAAAAATATTTCTATAAAAAATCATTTTTAAAAACTGGTGCCTAAAGAAGCAAGTTTTAAAATCTATAAAATTCAAATATGTAAAACTCCTCATTTTCTACAAATGATGGATAAACTGTCATCATGCATAGGGATGCCGCCTCATTTTAAAAATGCATTTGTCAAACTTAATATCAAGGCAAAGGCCCAGGGATAGACCCTAGGGAGCCAAGTCCTACCCTCCAGTCAACCTAACTCAGACTCAATGCCTAGCAGAAAGATCCAAATTAGACAGGCTTATTGGGTTCGGGCTAAGAATATTAGCGTATACCGAACTATCATTGAATGAATACAAGCTATTAGGTCAGTTCTGAAAAACAACAGTACTGTATATGCTTACAAATCAACAAATAGTCATTGGGCAATCAAGGTACCACAAATTAAAAGCAGTCTTGAGATGCTGAAATATTTACAGAATAAATAGTATATCTAGGATGGGTTTTAAAATTCTGTAATCAAAGAGGGACAAGGGTAAAAGTGGAATATTAATCTAGGTAGGCAAAATATTGTTAAGTATAGAAGCTGGTGAGCATTTCTGTAGAGCTTTAATATACATTTCTAGAAATACAGCTGTAGTACGCATTGCTGACCATCCACAATCCTGTGAAATAACACATTATGTGAAATAAGACATTATATGATTTGGAGCGGTACAAATACCAGATTATACACGAGAGGCAGAAAAAAAAATGGTCATGAATGCAGCTGGGACTCACTGATACACCAATGGCCTGTGCAAAAACTTGGTCTCCATCATGCCTGCAGGTCCTGCCCAGTCTCTGAGTGTCCCACACATACCCTAGTGTAGTTGCTCTCTAGCCAGTGGGTCGCACCTCACCACTGGCCCCTCGCACTCCTCTACTACCTCCTATCCGGCTTCCTTCCCTATTTATCTTCCTACCTTAACTGTAATCCCGATGTTAGGTAGCTGCCACCATAGGATGAGCTGGCCTCAGGCCAGGCATCATGTACAGAGTGCCCATGCCTTGTGGGGCAGCTGCACTGGCAGGGCATCCTGCTTGGCAGCTCTAGTGCCATCTGCATGATCCCTACCTAAGGCAAGCAAGATGGGACAAGTCATTGTGGATGGAAACCATCCTTGATACTCTAGCATGGAGATTACTAGCAATCTGGAGCAGGTAAGGAACAAAGATACCGAGAAAGCTGGATCTCGGTACTTAATAAAGTACCTCAGCTATATCTTGTTCTCTTATTGGAATTTCTAAACTCTACTGTAACCTAAAGGGACCACAAACATACATGGAGTTGGGAACTCCCTGAACAGACATTAAGTAATATACACCTATACTATGTAAAATGGAAGACTGTTTAGTTCAGAACTTTATTGGGCACTGTCTATCATTTTGAAATGTCACTTCATAGCTGGCAAGTCTACTGTGGGATATAAGAATCAGCCAGCACTTGCAGCAGTCATATTCACGGTGATTTGATATACAGCAGCATGTGATTACTTCCTTATGTCTTCCAGTAGTTGTGTCCAAGTATTTACATATTAAAATACATACTTATCCTCTTTACATTTCAGTTTGGGCATTTTATATATGCAAGGGGGCTTCAAACATTCATGGCAGAATTCCAGTACACTTTAATTCAATTTTTTTCCACAAAATTATTGAAGGCCTCTAGTAAGTAGCCAAATATGGTAGGTGTCAAAGATCATGTCATTGTGTGAAAATCGTCTGCATCATAATTGAAATTGACCATACTGGATCACAAAATGGAAAATGACTACAGTATTACACAATGGCCAAATTACATCACTTTATAATTGCCATGCCACTGAGAATCAACTTGGCCCGGCCAAGCTGACACATACCATTAACCATCACAGCCTCCAACCTGGGTGCTCATGACAGGCAGACTTATGTCCCAAACACACAAAACAGTTGGATGGAGTTTTTTTCTTACTATGGTAGCAAATGTGAAATATTGAATAATGAGATAGTTAAAAAGTGAGAAATAGGTGTATATACAATTGTGTGTGTACCAAACAAAAATAAACCAAACCCATCTCATCAAGTCAATTCAACCTCATAGGGACCCTACAGGGCTGAGTAAAATTACCCATAGGGTATCCAAAGCTGTAATTTTTACAGCAGTAGACTGCCACAACTTTCTCCCATGAAGAAAGTGGTCAGCTGAAGCTGGCCACCAGACAATAGGGCTCCTTGTGTAAACACACACACACAAGACAAGGCTTCAAAACATTCGTGAAAAAATTCCATTAGCTTCTAAGTCCATTTTCCACGAACTTTTTGAAGCCTTTTGTCAATGTATCACTTACATCCAAATGCATATCTATCTATCCTACCACAGATATCACTGTGGTCCCAGTTTTGTTTTGTTTTTAAGGGGAAAGCAGCTCTCAATTTCACTCTCCCCACTGTTTTTTAAAGGCTTCAAACTCAAGACTCCTACAGCACGGGACCACAGAAGGAATACAGGCAGGGAGGCAGAGGGCATGGCTCTGGGTCTTGAGTTCTGTCAGGGGGGCAGCTACAATAGATTGCTCCTGCTGCTCAAGCAGGCAGTGCAGAGGTAGAGCAGGGTGCTTTCTGCTCCCTTCCTCTGACTGCCCCATCAGTTAGTCTGGTCTCCGACACTGTTTTAGCAGCAGCAGCAAGGAATGACCAGAAAAGCACTCCCATAGGGTTCTGACATGATGTTTGCACAAAATCCAACTCATATAGTCCTAATTCACAGAATGTATTATGGTTGAAATGGCTACCTTACATGTAATTTTCACTACTACACAGGAAGAACTCACTACATATAAAGGGGACTTGGAGCCCAACCCGGTTTAAGAATCAATGCTGTAGATGGGCTAGCAACAATGACCTCCAAAAAAACTAAACCACATTCATTGTCACTGAGCAGTTGCCTACTCAGGAAAGGGTAAAATTGCCTCCTGTGAATTTCTGAGACTGTAAACTCTTTACAGGAGTAGAAAGCCTCATCTTTCCCCTGTGGAGCAGCTTTAGGTTTTCAGATATTGACGTAGGCCCCAAAAACCTTGTCAACAAAGCTGCTCTTCTAAAGACCAATTGTGAAATCTACACAAGCTATGCAAAGTTGATTTAAAGAGACATTAGCTATGGGTTTTGCTCAAGAGAAAGTCAGTTTACAGGAAGTGTAAGGAACTGTGATACAGTTTCTACAGCTAAGAATGGAATCAATCCAGCGACAGAAACACCCTGTGGCATATAGATCTCTTTGGCAAAGTGCTCAGGATAACTGACCAGGAACCCTACAAAGAATCAGT